GTATTTTATTATCATATTAGTTTAGTTTCTAAGGAAACCACAAATCTTAACGAGGTTAATATAATGGCAAAAAGCTGCCAAAATATTTCAACTCAAAGCAATTGACAAAAAACTGGCCCCCTCTCCTTCACTCCCCATATCCCATCCATTTATCCAGGCGCTTGTCAAATCGCCTAATTCCTGTATAAGCAACAAATATTAGGCTCGCATATATACTTCAGTTCCTGAAAAGAGGAAAAATAAAATCATATCTAAATCGGATTATTCAAATCTTTAACTAATTACAGATGATTCTTATCTGTCGTTGAATATCTGAATATCTTTTTCTGTATATATCCACATCTTAACACCACACAGCAGAGATAAATATACACATAAAGGAAGGAAGACAGGAGGGTCTTCAATGGCTTCCAATGCAACTGTTTCTTTGAGTTTTCTTTTTCTTTTTCTTAGAGTAAGCCTAGCTATAGCTAGAGTAAGTGTCAGAAATGAAGGATTTTGGAATGTGGTGAGTTGAGCCAAGATGTTTTGGCTAGACAAGAAGCCGACAGGGTCATCAAGCTTCCAGGTCTGCCTCCGGTGGGCTCCAAGCATTATGCGGGGTACGTTACAGTGAATAAGAGTCATGGACGAGCCCTGTTCTATTGGTTTTTCGAAGCCACGAGTAGACCTGAAAAACAACCTCTCCTCCTCTGGCTCAACGGAGGTAATTATTAGCTCCAAAATCCCAGGGTTTTGTTTGAATTATTGTATGCTTTGGGTTTCAATTCTCGTCTCTTCTTTTTGAATTCTTTCTTCTAGTTTTGCTCCTGGTTGCCATGGGGCTGTTAAGCTGATTTGAACTTCCGATGGATTTTTCTTTTATCTTTAATTAGTTGTCCAATTCCAAGTAGGAGGGAGAAACAAAATCCAGTTGAGACTTGAGAGTGAGACTGTGCGTTATCGTTGGTTTTGTTAAGCTGATTTGAACTTCCTATGGAATTTTCTTTTATCTTTAATTAGTTGTCCAATTCCAAGTAGGAGGGAGAAACAAAATCCAGGTGAGACTTGAGTGAGACTGTGCGTTATCGTTGGTTACTTGGTTTTTGCATTCATCCCCAGTCAGTCATTTTCATGTCTATGGACATCGCCTTGCCTGGTCCATAACCTTTTTTTTTTTTTTTTTCATATCTTTCACACCATTACTATATGAAATATCCTCTTATTATTGGCTATATTCACTTTGGTCAGAATTGTCATCTTCAGCCTTTTTTCCTACAGTTTTTTCACTTCTTTTGTTTGGAAGAAATTTGTTTTTTTCCTTTTTCTTTTTCAATGATAACCAATTATATATTAAATTAATTTATTTGGATTTTTTTTCTTTTAAATTTGTCAATTTTTCCTATAACTTTTTATTTTTCTTATTTATTTGTATACTTTGAATTTCAACAGAAACAGGTTCTAGAATGAATTATAAAGATGCAAGCCTAGTTGGCTAAGTTCGAAAATTTATGTTTCCAGGAGCTGTCACACCAAATAATCATGGATTTCCTGAATATTAATTAGATGCAACATAACCATGATGATTTCTACCAATTCTGGAGCCAACAAACTTGATTTACTTTTTCGTTTTCTAGCAAACACCATTTATTAATTACTCTTTTCATCTCATAATGATTGTTTCAATTTTTTACGAGTTTAGTTCATAATTTTGAAAAGCAAATATCTCGGTAATGTCCTCGAGATTATTATTGCTAGCCACCGACATTTTGTCCAATTTTGTTAGTTGAAGAAACTTTGTGTGTGTATGTATGTGTCTATGTATACATAAAAATGAAGTCAATCTTTGGATTATAAAAATAAGTTGCAGATATTATGATTTTAAATTTTGAATTTGTTGGATATTATTTTTTAAAGTTAATTATATAAATCAACTAATTGAATTAAATTTTAATTTTAATTTATTGAATATCAAATTGATTGATTGTATAGATTAATTGAATTAAATTTTAAATTCAATATTAATAATATAGTAGATCAAAATATGCCATTTTCACCATTTAAAACAACAATATTGTAAATAATTAATTTGGGCATATATGGAAATCAAAGGAAGTATTGATCACTTTAATGCACAAAATTTGGTGCATGCACGTGGGTTTATTGGAAGCTGTAAATTCGTTGACATCAAAATCTTAAATTAATTAAAATTACAGGCCCTGATGTTCATCAATTGGATATGGAGAAGCAGAGGAGCTGGGACCTTTCTTCCCTCAGAAAGACTCATTAACGGTAAAGCTCAACCCCCATAGATGGAACAAAGGTTTATGGAAACAAGTAATTTAATAAAATTTTAATCAGAAGAAAATTAAAAGCAGAGGTTTCAGAACTAATTTTTATTATTTTATTTTCTCATCCAGTTGCCAACTTATTGTTTGTTGAATCTCCAGTTGGTGTTGGGTTTTCTTATACCAACACTAGCAGTGATATCAATGACCTTGGTGATGGAATTACAGGTAAAAACGAAACCTTTTAATGCAACAAAATTTCCATGATAATCTCGTTCCAATTTCCTCATCATTCCCTGCTATTTTTCTTGGATGATTAGCTAAGGATTCCTATGCATTTCTTGCCAACTGGTTCAAAAGATTCCACAGTTCAAGTCCCATGACTTCTACATTGCTGGAGAAAGCTATGACTGTATGAAAAAGCTTTCCCTGATACTAACCATATTTTCCTCGTCCACCGCCTTTCAGTCTGTTTTCTCTTTTCTTTTCTTGGTTTTTCTTTGATTCTTCTGCCTCCCTTGTAGTAGTCCTTTCTTGATTATAAATATTTATTCGGTTTTTAATGAACTTTTCAGGGCACTATTAGCTTGCCTGTTGCCTTATTTTTTAACCACAAAAGAGGATTTGACTTTTAATACACATCAACTTTAGTGTAGTAATTAACTTTAAGCTTCTAGACGCAACTTGACTTTTTGTTGGGATGAAAAATAAACTACATGTGCCAGCTTTTGCTTGATTAACAAAGCCTTTTTAAATGCTTTGAAAAATCATCTGTTCCACCCAGAGAAGCATGCACAAAACAGTACAGATGGAAATGAACTGTCTGATTGTTGATTATTAATCTGGCAATTCTGTTAAACAAAGAATATATAAAATTATAATTAGTAACATAGGTTGTCTGAAAATAAACTTAAATGCAGATTGGGAATGCATTGTTGGACAATGAAAAGGATCAAACAGCAATGGTCGATTATGCATGGGATCATGCAGTGATATCTGATCGAGTTTACAACGATATTAAAATCAAATGTAACTTCAGCAGTTCACAGCCATCTCAGGATTGCAACAAAGCCTCAATGCTTACTTTGATGTATACGGAATCATTGGCATGTACAGCTTGTATACTCCCAGTTGTGTTAGTAACTTCAGCGACAGCAGACAACGCCTGGCGATTCAAGGCATCGCTCCCCAGATATTGTCTAAATTTGTGAGTTCTTCAAAGACTGATGGATTTCAGCAACTAAATCAGGATTAATTGCCTGTAATATGCGTGCCTCGATTCAAATTGAATCCAGTATAGACCAGTTAATCTGACTTTCTACAGGATGGATGGCACAAGAGACCAGCAGGATACGACCCTTGTGCATCAAACTACACAGAGGTTTATTTAAACAGGCCTGATGTTCAAAATGCACTTCATGCCAATGTTACCAAAATGCCCTATCCATGGACTCATTGCAGGTAGATATGAACTGCCCTTTTCCTATTGATGACTGTTTTGGACATAATCAACAACCATGTGAAAAAAACATTAAGTATGAGGTTGTTTTTATGTCTGCAGTGACATTATCTCCATTTGGAGGGATGCACCAGCATCTATGCTTCCTACAATTAAAAAGCTTATAGCTGGAGGCATTCGCATATGGGTTTTCAGCTAAACTCTTATTAAAAGTAACTTTCTGGTTGAACTTTTGAATACAGACTTTTGGTTTTTATCAATTTATTTATTTTTTTCTATTTGCAGTGGAGATACTGATGGGAGAATTCCAGTTACTTCAACTAGATTAACCTTGAAAAAGCTTGGATTAAAAACAATTGAAGAATGGACACCTTGGTACACCAACAACCAGGTGATGCTTTGTCCTCTGTTTCACATGAAAATATAGTTTCACCCTTCTCTACATGATATAAAATTATGTTTTTTTTTTTCTTTTTTCATTCCAATTTCACAGGTTGGTGGGTGGACGATTGAGTATGATGGGCTTGTGTTTGTCACCATTAGAGGAGCTGGTCATGGAGTTCCAACTTTTAAGCCGAGGCAGGCTCTTCAGCTAGTTAGGCATTTCCTGGCCAATAAGAAATTACCATCCAAACCGTTTTAGTCATTATTGCATGCATATTTCTTGGTTCTTTTCTCAGGCAAGTGAATTGGAAGAAACTTTTTGATCAGTTATTTTATGACAAACAATATATGGCTGCAGGTTCTGTCAGGATACTTGCCATGAAATTTGTACAGCCTTGTTTCATCCATCGCAGAAACTAAAAGCACCTGGTAGAATGGATTAATTCTATGATCAGAAAACTAAAATTTGATCTAAAATTTTGATTATTTTCTGGTAAACTTTTCGCACTTGCTGCTTTCCTTTCTATTAGTATAAATTAAGTATAGCTATCAAATTACTGGTAATTGTTTGTTCAATTGTAAATTTGTTTTGATAATCTTGTTTATATTATTTTTATTATCAATTACTTATCACTAGAACTCAAGAAAGAGACACACTGAATACATGTGAAAAAAATATTAACTTTTTAAAAGTAGATGAAATGCTCATTTTGTTGAAATATATTGTATACAGCATTAATTTAATTTATTTGTTAATTAATGCAATTAATTATTCATAAAATATGTGATTTACATTAAAAATTATTTACTACTATGACTTATGAAATTATTGTACTATTATTTTTATTATTAAAAAAATTAACATAAAATTATAATAATTAACTGTTAAATCATTCGCATAGAATGCATGTATTAAAAAAACTAGTGTAATTAAAATTACAATAAAAAAAATCTAACCTTCTAACATCAACCGTCAATAAATTATCTAGTTCAGAATTAACCAAATAATAGCTATTCCTAGAATTACAACAAACAAAAGCTCAGGAGAATAAATGAAATTGATGGAAACAAATCCTAGCTAAAAGTTAAACCAGAAGCCTTGAGCCTTCTCTTTTACCTCACATTATCGTTAAATTACTCAAAAATCAAAGAAGCCTGGACCTGCCCTAGAAAGAAGTTCCTTGCCAGCATCTTTCCCCATCATAACCATATCTTCAAAAACGTATGAGCCTTTCCTAGAAGTCTCAAGCACTGAAACATATATAGATAGAGAAGAGATGAAGAAGTTAGAGGGAAAAACAAACAATATTGTTCTCGCAGCAGAAAGAGGATAAATAGAAATTTAGGAAATGTTCGAGTGCAATGACATACTGCGTGTTCCATCAGGAGAAGCCACCAATCCTTTAAATATGCAATTACCATCCCCATCTTTGAAAGCATAGCCAGCAATAGGAGTACGGCAAGACCCATCCAATGTCTCCAAGAAAGCCCTCTCACATGCAACTGCCAGTCGTGTTTCGTCATGATTTAATGAAGCTAGGTAAGTAGCCTATAAATTAGAACCAACCAAATCAAAGGACGTTTCCTCATGATTTAATGAAGCTAGGTAATTAGCTTATAAATTAGAACCAACCAAATCAAAGGATGAAGAATAATTGGAGATCAAAAGAGATTTACAGAACCACAACTTAAGTGAGTGTTGGATAGAAATAAAATTTTCAAGATTACAGCAGGCATAGAGGACATAGGTCACTGGAGAAACTTTAATTCACAGACATATCCAGAACATATTCAATTGTCCAAAAGACACTTTGCATGAGCATCTGAGCCAAGGCCAAAATAGGCTCTCTTAAAATTAACAGAAGGGTCATCTAATCTTCAATGAAATAAAAGATCCTTGCATCAGTATTTTCTGTCCTACGACACTATTTACCTCTAGCTTCTGACTTTTGGGTTTTTAAGCGTTTCTATTCTCAATTACCAGGTTTCAAGATTCAATTTAGTCCCTGCAACCCACAAATGGGAGGAAAATCCATTTGGCCCACAATAACATCAATTCTGGCTGTAAAACTTTTTGTTCAGATGGTATTTTTTTTCCTATAAATTTTGTTTTTATTTTTAATGCCATCACTAGTCAATCTGATGATAAAGAATACCCTCTTTTCTCTGTTATTAAGCTCCCTGCAGCCAGGGGTCACAAAATAACTCCAGAGTATGATAGAAATTGGAGGTCAGCCATATATCAAGTAAGAGTAAAACATACCATTTTTTCATCCTTGCTTCGGCATGCAATTCCTATAGCCCCCTGTGCAACGGCTGGAAGCATTTCATCAATTGAAAGAATGGAAGTAACATTTTCTGTCATGCTCAACCGTTTGAGTCCAGCTAATGCCAATAAAGTAGCTTGGACCACCCCTTCATTAAGTTTTCTTAATCGTGTCTGTACATTGCCCCGGAAATTATCCTCCACCTACAAAATGGCATAGAAAATTATAACGAATTCAGAATAGAAAAAAGTATAAGCAATTTTGTATGTTTGAATTTTAAGACAGCATGCTCCGTTCGTCATGCTGCAATATTGACATTTTAAATGCAATGCAGCACCACTAAATCCTATTTTTTAGAAACAGAGTCATTTTCACATTTCAAGTCAATTGTGAGTCACCTGATGCAAGATCACCAACAGATGGAAAGTTAGATTTCCAATAAAGATAACTCTACTAATTCTTCTAAGAACATATTAAGATGACGTAGCAAAGTAACTTACCTTAAGCAACGGATATCTGTGGAGTATTTGCGACTTTCTTCTGAGTGATGCAGTACCAACAACACTCCCAGCAGGAAGCACAGACAAGGAAGATGCACTCGAGGAAATAAATGCATCATGAACATCCTCACGCTGCAGGTTGCAAGGTAGAATCGTCTTCTCTGGTAAATAAGTAGGAACATCCTTCATTGAGTGGACAGCAATGTCAATATCACCATTTATTAAAGCCTCATCTATTTCTCTTGTAAACAAGCCTTTCCCACCAATGTCGGCAAGTGGCTGACTCAGTATTTTATCACCAGTTGTTTTTATGACAACAATTTTGATAGCTCCTTCTTCAGCTAATTCCGGATGGGAAGCCATGAGTTTGTCACGTGTCTCATGAGCTTGAGCAAGTGCTAATGGGCTGTCCTACACATGGGAAGAACATACACAGCCAGAAGTGATTCAAGATATCTTTCACAAAACAAAAAAAAAGAAAAGAAAGAACAACTCGTTCCCAGAACATTTTAAAACTGATGGATATTATCAATGTTGAAGAGTTGAAACAAGTCCAGTTCTTCTACAAAGAAAGTCCTTGAATTGTTCTGAATTTTCCCGGGAAATGAATTTTAGTTATCATAAAATGAAAATTTTTCAGCTAAATGAAGTAAGACCATCAATTCACTCGACTGCATAAGAGAGTAAGTATTTAAAAGAACAACTGAGACTAACAAAGTATTCAATAACAAAAAACGTCAATGACTGATGGAATGAATACAAATCAAACTGAACATTAAGGAGGAAATATGCCTGTATAAAACTACAAAAACTACGCAAATCAGATAAGTATTTACAGAATTTGCCAAAATCAAAGCTAGATTTTACATATCAAGTTAAACCCAGAGAAAACCACCCCAAGTATTTCAAACAAATAGAAGAAGACCACTTTCCAGCATTATAATTCAAACCCATCTGAATTCAACAACCAGGGACATTAATGATCCACATTACCGAACATCAATTCAGAAGTATACTTCAAGAACAAAAACAAAAGACAAGAAAGTACCTTCCTCTAGTGCCAATTCTGAGGAGTGCAACTTCTGTCTTGGCAACAGAAGCTTTTATGACCCCACAACTGTGCCTTTTCTTTGAATCAGGAAGGGCTTGAATCTTGAGATGGTGGAGAGGGAAGCCAAGAACAGAGACGGAGGCACCGCCACAAAAATTGGCTAGGCCGCCGCCATGGGTTGTACATAGAGAAGAAGCTAGAGTCTCCATTGGCAGCTTGAGAACTCAATAGGGGAGGAAAGGAAAAAGAAGAAGAAAGGGTGACAGATTGAATTGTCTTTGAAAGGATTGTTGTATTGTTAGTTGTCTGTTATGCTAGAAAACGAAAGGAGTTGGGTGAGACTTGAGAGTGGATAGGATATTAGGATTACCAAGGTTTTGATCCCCTACGGTTTGCTTGCCTACGGTACTTTACGAGTCCTTTGACGTTTTATTGTCTCCCTCCAAGTTCTTTGTCCAAGCCGCATAAGACTCCTACTCTGCCTAAATGTTGGGCAAACTTGAGGGCTGATTAAGTCTTTTGACGTTTTAGTGGTGTTGCGTGTGGGCAGCGCGTTTGGTTTATAAATTAGGGTTTGAGACAAATTTTAGAGACATCAGAGAAAAAGGAAATTTTATATTTCAGGGGGAGAGAGAGGGATAGTGATCTGAGATGTCGTATCTGCTACCACACCTGCACTCAGGATGGGCTGTAGATCAGGCTATCCTGGCGGAGGAAGAGCGTCTCGTGGTCATCCGATTCGGCCACGACTGGGACGAAACCTGCATGCAGGTACCCACTTTATTCTCCTCTCTCTCTCTCTCTCTCTCTCTCTCTCTCTCAATCGCTTTTAATTCGAATTTTACTTGGACCAGTGGAATTTCCTTCTCTTCCCGGGTTTTGAGCATTTATATTTCAGGTTTCATCACATGAATTAGTAAAAGTATTCAGGAGATCCTTATGTTCACTATAGATTTGTCATTAAATTTGGGGAAAAAATATAATTGAAATTCGAGGACAATAAACTCTGTTGGAAAACTGATTCTTTCTATCTCATAATAAGCAACTAGTCAATTCAGACATTGTTAACTAAATTTTAATAAAAAAAGAAGGGACTTTCACAGGTGTGATAAGTCTTTCTCTTATACTACAAGTAGTAGGGTGGTTATCTTCAAATGTTTTAATTTCCCTTTTACACCTTCTTTGTAAAATTCTTAACAAGGGCCCTTGAGCTGCTAACGAGCACCCTTCTTTGCTTTCTTTGAAGCGTGCATTGGTCATAAATAAGACTTGGTTCAGGAAGCTCCTTGATCTTGGTTCTTAACAATATATCTCCTATCCCTGTTATGTTTATTAAGTTGAAACAACTTCTAAATTGGAAAAGCCAGGTTTAGGTGAATGTATTAAGTTGCTTTTCTAACATTCTTGCTTAGTTTTGATCCCCTATGAAATTACTCACAAATTTTAATGCTACATGAACCATTTTATGAATAAATTAATTCTAATTATTGTGAGTCAAATTTGAAATATTTGGACAGAAAACTAAAATTGATACTATAATTTGGTGTTTCAGTATGAACATGGCTTGTGAACTTCAAATCTCATCTTCTTGCTGTGCCAATGGTTTAGCTGAGTAGGAATTTAGAATCTTCTCCAAGTGAACATAAAAAAAAGGAAAGATAGAGATTTTGATAATGGCTTATTGTGTTGAGCCCAATGGTTAACTGAGTAGGAAGTTAGAATCTTCTCCCAGTGAGCAAAAAGGAAAGAGCTTTTGATAATGACTTTCTGTTTTATATTCTGAAGCTTTATTCCAATTATCAAACTAAAATTTCTACTTTTTTCACTGTAATGAATGACAATTAAGTAGTCTGTAAGTTATATTTTCACTTTTTGGTAGCATACAAGTTTTCTCCCTATTTGGCTTATGCCCTCTGGTCAAGTCCTTAAAGGCTGAACCCGTTATCCTACTTGGGTGAGAATTATATTTGCGGCTGTTTAACAATGACTTGTAGTGGATTTTTAGGTTTTGCTTATTGATATAATAGAGAAACAGTTTTTGTTTTGCTTATATTCGGGTTGTTACCTTTGGGGTGTGTGTATGAATGTGTATGGACTTGGACTTTGTGGATTTTTTGATAGCATTCTTCCTTTTCTTTTTGCTTCAGAGTACTTCATATCTTGAAGCTGCACTTTTTTGTCATTATTTATTCAATATGAAATGAATGCTTTACTATTGACTTGCTTTTGTTTCCTCTACAATGAAAAGGGTGTTATTGTTATACTTGCACTTAATCTGTGGTCTGTTAATTTGATTTATGTTTTCAGATGGATGAGGTGCTTGCTTCAGTTGCTGAAACGATAAAGAACTTTGCTGTGATTTATCTTGTTGACATAACGGAAGTGCCTGATTTTAACACAATGTATGAGCTGTATGATCCATCCACAGTCATGTTCTTTTTTAGAAACAAACACATTATGATTGACCTTGGCACTGGAAATAACAACAAGATTAACTGGGCTCTCAAGGACAAGCAGGAGTTCATAGACATTGTTGAGACTGTATACCGTGGGGCAAGGAAGGGTCGCGGTCTGGTAATTGCTCCAAAAGATTACTCTACTAAGTATCGCTACTGAGTGTTCTTGTAAGCTGTAGTTAATCAGGAAGATCTGCGATCAACTTTTGCAAATTTCATGCCATTTGCATTACTTGCATGAATGTTGGGATAATTGACTTGAGAGTAATATTTGAGATGAAAATTTGAAACATATATTTTATTTGTTTGTGATGCATGATTACCAGTAAAGCATCGTGTACTTTAGACATTTGAGTGCTGCACTGCTACCAAAACTATGGTATATTAAAACGCAGGTTCTGCTGTTGCTAGTAAATATAGGCTAGTATATAGTATAATGGAATGTACATACGCGAAATAATTCCGAAACATGTTGAATGAGCATGCTGTGGCAAAGAGTTTCCTCCCTTTTTTCCCGCAAACAAGGCACATTTTAAGCAACCAACACACTTGACTTCATCTACATACGCTTCTCGTTGCTCATTTTCTGATCCAAGCCACACAGAAAGTAAAGGTTTCCCAGTATAGCGACGCAGCTCTGCTTGTTCCTACACTTTACGTCATTTGCCAATCAATTTCTTCTTAAGAAAATAATGCTGACTTAGGATTGTCAAGATGTGAAGAAAAACCATCAGATTTAAGTAACTAACCTTGTCATAAGCCACAGGTGACCGTGGATCAGATAAAACTGAGTAAACTTCATTAAGAATGATGGCCATATGTCATGCCCTGCTGCTCCAGCAATTTCAGGGTGGCATCGCCTTTGCGAGGCACAATAGGCGGTTTTTATATGTGATCAATTGAAAGAGAAAGCCTAGAAGATCAAAGAGATCAAAATCCGTGATGGAAAAAGATGGTGAAGCTGAAGCTTTGCATGTCAAAGAATGGTGATATATAGGCATTTATTTTCACCCGTGAAAATTGTGATTCCATTAATAAACGGAGATTGCTATGTTAGAGTTTTTTTATCGAAAAATTGCTATATTTATTGTTGACGTATAATAGCAATGTTTTTTACTGAAAAAATAAAAGAAACAATAAAATTACTAGTCATAGTCTAAATTTAAAGTTACAACAACTATTCTTTGACATTTAATAAAATCTTTTATTTTATCTTAATTTGAAATTTAAACCATAAATAAGATACTAAACATGTTTGTCAAAGATATAGAATAGAAAAAGAAAACAAATCTGATATCATATGCTACTCTCTCTCTCTCTCTCTCTCTCTCTCTCTCTCTCTCTCTCTTTCTCTCTATAATTATATATATATAAAAAATAAATTAAATACTAGTTTGTTACTCCGTATCGATCATGTTATTATTTTATTTTATTTAAATTTAAATAAAATATAAATAATATAATTAAATATCAAATATAATTAAAAAAAATTAACAAACTTTAAAATATACGATAAATAAATTGGGAGGAAAAAAAACATTCAGAAGATATTGTAAATAATATTATTAAATATACCAACAAAATATTAAAATAGAAACTAAAAGTCTTATCACTTCAAATGAACTTTATTCAATTTACATAATCTCTAGCTTCTTTTATAATTTTTATACACTTGTAAATTTATATAATTTTAAGATAAGTTTTATTTATTTAAGAGAAATAATGATTTTAAATGTTTAAATAATATATATGATAACTTACTTGCGTGTACATTTTTTTTTGTAAAATTTCAGTAATATCATAATTTTAAACATCTATATAGCTTTCTAAATATTCATGCCTTTCAATTATTTTGAGGTTGATATCTGATGCAAAATTATCTTCCTATAAAAACTGAAATGAAATAGTTTTAAATTTTGAGTAAGTAATAGTATTAAATTATAAACAATTATTTAAAAAACTATTGGTAAAAGATTTTAATGAAATGTATTAAACTACTTATCTTTTATATTTTTTTCAAGTAAATACTGACTCTTCTCTACATAAAATATCTAATGAACATATGTAATAATCAATCTTGAACTTCCATGAAAAAAAATTATAATCATTGAGTTCTACTTCAAAAATATATGAACGATCTATCAAATCTTCCAATATTTTTTCCACTTTGGCATCTCCATCTTCCTGTGAGCAAGTTTTATATAAATTTAATTAAATAACATCGATATTCATACGAATGTAGAAAATTATTTTGAATATGATATAACCTCAGTTTTCATTTGAAACAACTAATCAGTTGTATACTTTAGAATTTAATTAGCTTTTTCCATCAAAAAGGACAAATGGTGCATTGCCTAGCTCGTCCAATACGTTGCAATTAACTTGTGCTTATGATGGAATATTAATAATAATCAAACTTACCTTCAATTGAAAAAAATGAAAAAAAAAAAGTAAATATCCAAACGACTATGTTTTAAAAATTACTTGTTTAAAAATATCTCAATAAATTTTACTTAAATTACATATAATGATAATGAAATTTAATAATACTTTACAACTGGAAGTTAGGTTTGATGTATACAATCCTTGCAAGCATAACCTCCGTCAACTTCTAACACCTTTTTTCTATGCACCGCACATGACAAATAATACCATCCATACCTTGTGTCGATTTGCATTTTAATACCTTGATAGGTGAACTTTTTCTTCTGTTGGTAGTAAAAGTAAGAAGCATTTTCTTAATTATAATTTTATATATATTTAAATTGAAATATATTTAACTAAAATTCATAGTTCTTACCTTGCATGAGTTGTCATTCATGACATGATAAATATTAGTTATCGATCTTCTATTTGCAAATAACATTTCTTTGAAAGATATGGCTTCTTTTATTAGTGTCAGATACTTTTAAACTTGAGAATCACCAACAATTTGACTGTATTTGCATCAGAAATTATAATATATATTTTATAAAATGCATTATATCTTTTTTGTGCTTCAACATTTTTTAAATAACTTTATATTTACTATTGATAAATATGTAAATACCTATTTAGAATTATAGCAGCTTCAGGTATATCCAAATTCTTGTATACCTTTGTTGTTGACATAGATGATAAATTGTATTTACGTAAATTAAATATCAATATAAGAAACATTAATTAAATAATTAGGGTTAAAACTAAATTAATTAAATACAAGTGTTTTTTTTTTTTTACTTACCTTTGAATTGTTTGACAATGGTGGATGTCACAACCAATATGATGGTTTCATTATTGCCTACTAAAATACTATCAACAAGTTGATATGCAACTCCACCCTAAAGAGTAATTTCCATCAAGTTTCCGTTACAAGAAAAAAATCAAAATAGTTAGTTAAACAATTAATTTAACATATGCATTATCTAATTAAGTATTTCTCAATGCATACCTTGCATTTTTTATTTCTAATACCCTTTTATTTACTTTTTTTACCCTAAATGTCTTGATTCACAATTGAACTTATCTTGCTTAATTTTTCAATGACATCTTTAAGATTAAAGTAGTTTCAAAGTATAATTAGTCAAATTAATATAAAATGCAAAATTAAAAGTATTAGATAAAGTTAAAGTCAATGGACCTGTTAAATATGTTTTATCATGATAGCGTGATTGAATAGCATCAAACTTCAAAAACTCAAATTTATGCAACTTAAGTGAACTATTCAAACCATTAATAGGCTTGACAAATGTATTGGGTTTGAAGTAGACATTCAAATTGTTTTTCACAGTTCAATAAGAGCTAGACACATTGCAAACTTTGAAATTATGAATCATGTAAACATTTCCTTCCATCAGTAGTGTACAATACTTGTCTACCAAATTTTTGAATGCCATTGCATGAATGTGATCATCCTGTAAAAAAAAAAAGAAATTGTTTATTGAATAATTTTGTTAGAGATATATAAAATGAATAACCTATTATGTACAAATTAAGGTAAATAAAGCCTTCACATTTTCATCCAATAGAATCATTCCCAAACCTTTAACTTTTTCATTTTTATTAACATTCATAGCATTCCACATTCTAGTGATTCTTACTTTAACCTTCCATTGGTCTCTAATTGTTGAAATCTGTTGTAAGTATTGGTAACCTTGCATTATGCCTTATAAGAAAATAATGAAAATTTTGAATTATTAGAATAAAAATGCATAAAATTTGTAAATATATGCATACATTAAATAATTAAATATTAAATCAAGTGTGTCACCTTTGGAAAACATCATCAAACACCTCAATGTATACAACATTATTTGTGCATGAATGAATATCACGATCATTGTTTTCAATTAAAAATTTTAATCCCCCTGCTGATGTTACTTTGGAAGCAGCTACATATAATTGGTCATGAATGAAAATCGATTTTGGCAAATACACACCGATATTTTCAAATATTTGTCTTTAACTCTTATTTATGGTCATTGCAAAACAAACTTTGATTGGGAACTATCTTTGTGTTAGAGTGAATGATCATCTTGATTTTGAAGGGGACATTTCCACTCGAGGGATGAAAAATTGACTTCCCACATTCGTCCTAGTTATTGCCTCAGCTTTAATTACCTTAGAGCCCAATTTTGTGATTACCAATCTAGTACCATTGCAAATACCAACACTTTAATTTATGTTGCACAAAAGAATAATAGGAACCCCAACTTTCAAATCAATTTCATGATTAGGTATCCCGAGAAACTTAAGTGAATTTAAGAATTCTAAAGTATATAAAATAGATTATTCTTCAACATTAGCCAAGGTAGGTGAAATCCTATAAGCATTGAGATATTTTTTCATTTCACCAAGAAGTTTTAAAAGTATATAAATATTGATTTTATCAACTACTTCATTAGTCGATGCTATTAGGATATGTACAATCAACAATTTGCCTTATTGAATCATTCCATATGTAATTAAAAACTCATTTGTAATATTAATCCATGTTGAATCTACACTTTCACTTGGTCTAATTAAAGGCAACTTGCTATCACCTAAGTTTAATAACCATTGGCTAAAGTCTAATATTGAGCTGCACAATTGATTTATCAATCTCATATTAATAGAGAAAGTAAATATTTGACAATGTTCCCAAATTTTAGATCTAGAAATTTTAGCGATTATAATGTCACTTCTGTTACCTCGAAGGAATCACTAGCAATATTTGTCTAAAAGCACCTCTTAATATTACAATTTTTCCCCCAAAAATCTTTAGAATTGGGATCCTTGGAATGCATAATATCTCATAATATACGATCAACAGCTTGCATATTTGTATGTCATTAGTGCTTCATCCCATATAATAAAGTTACTTTTCAAAGTAATTCAACAAGTGGACTGCCTTGCTTAGCATCATAGCATGAATCTTTATCTAACTTTGTAGAATTTTAAATCTAGAGTGTGTTGTTCTACTTCCAAGCAATAATAAAATAGTAATACATGAAGATGCAATTGCAATAATGATATTACCTTGAGATCAGATCTTAGAAATAATTGTTCTTCATAAAAATGTCTTTCCAGTACATCCATTTTCATAAAAAAAATCCACCACTATAATTGTCCATAAAACGGATAACAACATCGTATACAATTTTTTTTATCACTGTTGAGTCTATCATATAGGTTATTATGATCTTATAATAACGCATCTTTATCGTAACTTATTTCTTCCAAAACTAAATAATTGCGTTCATAAATGACTAATACAAAATTTGGGTAAGAAAAAGTCTTAAACTCTCTTAATGATCTTCCATTTCATTTCATTGTCTTTTTTATCTCAAACAACGCATAGTTCTGCAATTGCTCAGGAGTCAAATTTAAGTCTAGTCATCTATATACCATTCTTTGTCGATATAAAATATCCTCAGAAAGTAACTCTTAATTCTTGTTCTATAACTCATTTGGTTATGTAACTTCACAAACTAAAAGAATGGTAACAAATAGATCACGTAATTGATGTCTGATAGCCCATAGAGATGCTTCACGTAATGTTTCATGCCATTCATAATCGCCTTCAAGTAATCCCAATGCTCTACAAGCATCTTTATAAGTTGGATAAACAATCCCATCAACTGTTTTTATATCTTCAAAAGATCTAGCACCTTTTACAATATGAGGAGTATCTTTAGAAAATTTCTCATACTAGAAGATGGATAAGCATAATATAATCTGTCGACAAACCTTCCTCTCTTTCTAGGTTTTTATTCT